GGTTCATAACATGATTGAAACAAGACCATAGGAGATGCTAAATGGTTCAGAAAATAATTAAAGAAGACAAGTGAAGGTAGGCAAGAGTTCAAAACATTATTGAAGAAAGATAAACGAATTTAATGAAGTAAAAGTAAAAAAAAAAAAAAACCAATATACCCATCCATTTGCCTATAAATATCTACCTCCATATGCAACATAATCAATCATACCAATGGAACCTAACATTTGATTGGTGATGGCCCTATCCTAAGTGCAATCCACTTTCACCTCCTGTAATAATCAAGAAATGCATTGAACAAGTATTCCTAGAGTCCGACTTCACTCAAAGTTCATAAATCCAAGCCGAGAAGTTATATCAAAAGACCAACACCAAGATCATCAAAGGGAAATTTGTAGTTCGTAAATGTGGCAATGACACAATTCATTTAATACTATAACAATATAAAGAAAAAAAATGGAAGATAATTATGATAATGGCTTCAAAGAAGGGTTCAAATTATTCTCGGCATACACAAAAGTAGCTATTGCAAGGGCTATGGATTAGGATGATGTAGATGTTGTGACCTCATTGCAACTAACCAAATAAGTCATGTTCCATTGTTTTTAATATAAGCTACTTGTTTTTCTTTCGAAGTCCATGAAATAAAATGTTGTTATGCTTGTTTTTATTTTCAAGTGAAATTATATTATATTTTAGAATTTTAATTTTTTTTAGGTTAAGATGTTCATAAAATTAAATTGAAACAAAAATAATTTTAAGAAAAATTAACGATAACAAGAATTAGGAGTTGATTATTCTTAAACAATTAAATTTTGAGTCATAAAAATACATGAATAGTTGTAGTTTGAAGAATTGAAATTTGAATTTAGACCCGGTTCAGGGTGGTCTAAAAGAAACATAAAAGTGCTTCTTTGACCGTCAAAAGTGAACCAAACACTGAACACCCAAAAAGCGTTTTGGCGCTATCAAAAATATCACTTCCAAGACATTACGCAGCAAACGACGGTTTGCTTAATTTGGAAAAGCACGAATTTACAGTACTACCATACGCCTGAACTGAACCTTCCCTCAAGCATTTTTATTTTGATCATCAATCTTTTTCACTCTGCTCGAATATACAGCTTTCCATGTACTATTGATATCTTAGTTACATTTGCACTGTATTTTACTTTTCAATAAAATACAAATACAATATTAATACTGAATTTTTTTTTTAAGAATTCCAATTCTGGACCCCACAACTAATTATGACGGAATTAGATCAACTCTCAAATTCTGAGTCACCCCCAGACTCCAGTACAAGATTCATGGACCATCTTGATTTGCAAGCCAAGAGTCAAGACGTTTTCGGCATCAGCTTAGTAATTTAATGAAAATAAAAGTGAAAGGAGAACTAAAAATAATTATAAAAAAAAAAATTGGGAAAAGAAGGAGAGAGGGTGGGGTGAGATGTGAGGAAAAAAAGGTACTAACACTCAAAGCACATAAAGTGAGATTATATATACTTATATAGGCTGCTTATTATTTATGAATAAGGAAAAAAAAGAAGAATTAAATTCCTTTTCCGCTGAAATGCATACCAGGAACTCATCATCACCTTTTCCTATTTATTCCGACAAAGTAGAAAGGACCTAGGAATAGGATTCTCTTCTTTGACCAAAAGAAGACGCAAAAGCCATTCAATAATACTTGGCTGATTTTACCTCTTTGAACATGAAAATGGCATCGGTAGATGCTTCAAGCTAGAAACATCAAACATCTCCATGAACCTCTGATCTGCAACTCTGGCTTTCGCAGCTGCAAACCGCTGGTATTCGTCAAAAACAGATGTCAGGCACCACCTCTGCAATTTTCTCAAGCATCCCACGAGACAACCAGTCCGATGCTGAAAATACGATCAAAGAAGTTAGCAGCCAATAACAACTTAAAAACTGTCACGGATTATTCGAAATCCGGCAATGAATCTATAAGAGATCAATCAATGGTGCACATACCTTCCCTCGTTTACAATGAATTAGGACAGGATGATTCCTTACATCTGCATTGCAGAAAAGTAAATAAATGTAAGCATATAACAGTGCTGTAATTCTGGTCTCTATGAAACTAAGTGCAAAATGATTAATTTCTTGAGTACCAAGGACAACTTTTAGCGCTTCACGGATTGTATCCTCTGGGATGTTTACAAAAGGCTCCTGAATGCACAATGAAATTTTGAATATCAGGTTATAATTTTGAATATGAATTCATGTTCTAACTAGAACTTGGTTCAACATTCATGCAATCAAGTAACTAAAGATGTACAACGACGAAGGATTCATGGACTCTATCATTGTTTACTAGAAATAAATAAAAACTGATCCTGAATCTGTTTCATGATGACTAAAATTAAGATGCATCCACTAAAACTCAGACCAAAAAACGTTCAGATATGTAATTGTTAAAACTGATCCTAGACATTTGATAATACTATAACAATGATTCTAGATTGGAGCAAGACGGATGTAACGGTACCTATCAGTGTAACAACATTGGCAAGGACACAAACTCCTGAATGTGTAAAACAGTAAAAGCTTTACTTCAGACAATAATACTCAAAGTAGGATACTTGAATTTTAAAACAATTGGGTTGAGACAAAATCTATTAAGTTTTTAAAGCTAGTTTCTGTCAAGCTTCTTCTGTCAAACTAACGAAATCAAGGGAACCTTGGCCGACAGTTCAGTGTCAATATTGAAATCAGACAGTATTAAAGAAATATACATCACTTGTTTCCAGCAAAACTCAAAACCAAAAAAGAACAATATAATTTAGATAAAATTCAAAACCAAAAAGGGTATTAAACAATAGAAAGAATAAACGCATGTGATCAATGTAGATCACAGAAACACAACGCATACATTATGTCTGAAACTGAAAGGAATCCATGAAACATTGTTTCTATATATATGACAGAAATCCTGGCCCTCTAGTTAGATATGCCAAGACAAGATAACTGCCATCCCATACAAAACCAAACCAACAATACCCCACAGAAATTTAAAAAATTCATTATTAACAAAATCATGTAGTTATCATATCATTGAACCTATCACGCAACAAAAACAAGGACGATCATAATAAATGAGCCATTATGACTCAACCACCAAAGCAACTTGATAAGGATTAAGGAGTGTTGATTAAGGATGAAGAATATATGTGGTATTTGATTCATTTATCGAGCCATATAGGTACAAGACTAAACCACTAGCTCTCTCACTGTTATTCAACATATGCATATATACAGTCCCCTTCTATTGAGGATCCCTCAATAGAAGCTCTCTGTATGTATACATATATCTTAGCTAGCAAACAGTATTGATATTATTTATGATACGTGACCCAAATGTCAGGAAACGCAGAAGCCTCCAAACGTCTACTTCATTGGTAAATATATCCAACCGCACTTGCTTAACTCTTCGTATTACCAAAGTAATTTCTAAAAGATCACACTTTCATCAATTTCCTCCATTTCAAAAGTTCAATTTGAATGTAAGCAGCACATAGTAGTCACCGGTTCACAAAAATCAACTTAAGCAGAAATTTTTTAACTCAGCTTAAAGAGACGATACTCAATCCAATGGAATTCAAAAAACAAAAGTAGACATACCTTGTAGCCTTCAATCCCAAATTGAAAGAGCTTAATCCCATTGGACTTTAAAAACTCCACGTTCGCCTCTGGATACGGCTCTGGACACAGACATCTGCATACACACATGAACATAAATTAATCACATAAAAATATAATTCAAACACAAATTTTTTTTTTTTTTTTTAAATAATAATAATCAAAACAATATCAAACACTTATATATGAATCATGATGATGTTATTATATAAGTAATGGCTTACATGATGGAGCGGAGGCCTAGGGTTTGGAGGAAGGAGAAGTTGGCGGACTCCGGGAAGCCGGACCTGAAAATGCCGTTATCGACCATGGAGAAGTTGAGCGGCGGAATGAAGAGGTCGTCGGCGCAGTCGTCGGCGCCGGCGACTTGCTTCGCCGGAGAGAGCACAACGCCTCCGGCGACGACTTCGATAGTCCTGCACATCTCGGTCTCGGTCCCTTGATCCTGATGGTGATGATTAGGATTGAGCTCCACTTTCATATCCAGCTTATAAAAGAAGAAGAAGGACAGACGAGGACAGAGAGAGCGTGGTATTTATAGAGAGAAAAAGTCGGGGGCTTGGCTTGGGGATCGCTTAGGATATTCCTATAGCCTTTGCTTTTGCTTCGGGCTGCGATTCTTCTTTTTATTTCATTTTTTGGTGACAGGCAGTTGAAAAAGGGGGGGCTTTCTCTCAGATAAGAGAGGAGAGAGAAAGGCAGGTGGCGCAGGTTGTTAAAATGTTAATGAGCTGTGTGCGATTGCTTCCATGGTGACTGTATTTATAGAGGCAAAGTGAGAAAATTGTGTTTGGCATAATAAATCAATAAAAAAGAAATATAAACTGCGTGGATCTAGGTGAATAAAATCATGAAAAATAAATAAAATATTGAAGAAAATAAGATAAATGAGCGAAGCCAGAGCAGCGTGTTTCTTATTTGGACGCCACTTATGGAAAGGGCGCGTAACCATCTTAATTATGTTTTTACCAAAATAAGTCTTTTTTTTTTTTTTTTTTTACCTATCCAAACAAAATCAACAATTGGATTAGATGAACTTTTTCTTTTTTTTCAATGTTAATGTAATGTGAGAAAACTTGTGTTGCGTATATCACATTTCTATGTATTAGTAATGCAATCAGCAAATATGATTTGAATATTTTCCATTACGTGAGTAACTTTGTTTAATAATAAACGTATATAAATAAAATTGGTCTCGTTGACGTAGAATGATTCTTGTTTAAGACGAATACATATGAGAAATTATAGATGAATAATGCAAATGGAACATCATTCAAAGTAACATATAGAACAAGTATTCCATCCTTTTTAACTTCTCTTGAGGTCCCAACTAAAATTAGTTTTACTTGATCATCCATCCCCATTAGGCTATTTCCTTCTTAAATTATACCTGAAAAGCTCCAATCATGAATTAACCCACTTATTTAATAAAGACCGGATACTAAGAGTATTGATAATGCTCCAAACTTGCAATCGATGGTCCAATGAGACGGACGTGTTAAATTGCACCATCAATGATCAATCACAACCTCACAAACTCACAATAATAAAATGGTTTTATAACTTTATATTATAATGAAACATTATATTAATTTAAATATCGTGCATATAGAAGTGAGAGAAGAATATAAATGGTACATTCTAAGGAATATGCTCGTTGCAAAGAGAGAGAGACAGAGAAGGTTGCCTTTGTATTATAGTGAGTTGGAAATGCGAGGCCCGTGCGCCACGTACTTTATATCTCGTCGGTTTGTGTAAAATCCCACGCTATCAAGTGTCCAAAAAAGGTCACTCGCATTCTTTTCTCACTCATTGCTGACTTGGTTTCTTCGCTAGCTATTTTTACGGTCACTATTATTGATATATAGTGTTATCAATTTACTCAAATTTTAATGAACGATAATATATAGGGGTTTTTGTAATTTAAAATGATAAGTCGGCATATCACGTGATGTTACAATCGTACATTTTTATCAATGGTACAAATTATACATACTGTAAAAGGAGTAATCAAAGAATGCGAGTGACCTTTTATGGCAATAAGGTCTAGTTTAGTAGAAAATAACATTAACTTGTACACTAGTGGTCTCAAGTTCAAACTTGTACAGCACCTTGTAATGGCAGACCCATGAATTTTTATAGGGGTCAGCTTTTTTTTTCTTTTTTTTTTTGGGGGGGGATATATTATAAGCCTTTTTTTCTCTTGAAACAAAAATGTAAATAAAATTTTATAAATCAAAAGCCACTTTACAAGCAAACATAACACAAAGAAAGTCATTGGATACTCAAAAAGTTTAGGTTGATAAGGCCCCAACTTGATATAAACCCTTCGAATCTCATCACGTTGATTGATTGGGTGTTCACAAATTGGAATGTGTTTCCCTAGATCTCGTTCTAAAGAAGCAATATCAAACTCTTTAGGTTCAACTACTTGAGATCCGAGTTCAATTGAGATCTGAGTTCAGTAAGTTCTTCAAGAATTGAAGTAGCAACATTAGGTGCAGAAGATATATCCTTGTTATCATTACCACTTTTTTTGAAGAATGAATAAATAGTTTTTCCTCTCTTTACCGGTCTATTATCATCATGTGATATGATATCCTAACAAGAAATACTAGACACCAAAAATCATATATGTAATTAATAATTCAAGTTGCAAAAATAAAACACATATCAACAATCTCCAAAGTTTTCACTCAAACCTTAAATCATAAAAACTTAACAACAACAATTAAAATTGGAAATTGAATATATAGAAAAGAGAGAAAAACTTACCTGAAGAATCCACTGAAAATAGGTTGGTACAATTTTTTAGAGGAAAAGAGCTATTTCCTCTAGGCTCTTAAGGTTCAAATATGGTGTTTTGGGTGGCTAGAAGAAATTTTTTTATGTTTGCGCTCTGTGGGTGTAGCCCAATATAAGTACGATTAGAATAGCTCAAGTTGGTAGAGCCTTAGTGTGAGTTTTGCTTCTAATCAAATTTATATAGGTTTGGATTGATATTTATTATTTCCTATATGCTTCAGAAGTGAGCTTATTTTAAATAGAGGATTGAGCTATTGTTTACTTTTATTTTGATTGGGCTATTATTAGTTTATTAAAAAAAAATTAAAAACAATGCATGTGTGGGCTATATTTATTTGGTGCAATGGGCTAATATTTATTTGAGTAGGAATAAGTCTATAATAATGAGACCATGTTCAATATTTTATAAATGTTCCCTTAGGCTTCAGCCTAGGCTTAAGTCCGCCCTTGGCACCTTGGTAGTATGTGTGTAAGAAACTCACATCCTCTTATAATGTAGACTATCACTTCTTCTTCTTTTTTTTATAAAAAAAAACTTTCAAAATAAGTTGATGGGTAAAGAGATTCTAACTTCCAAATTGAATCTTAATCATATATATATATATATATATATATATATATGTGTATTTTTTAAAGTTGGATTTTGATTTTAGTAATTAAACGGTCACATACTCTAGTACTTTTGGTAACATGGAGTAAGTCACATGGTTGGAGGCTTGGGAGCTTTCAACTGAATTATTCAAATGTATATGTTTTTTGGTCATTGCTGACATTAGTCTGAATATTTGTGGATTTCAAAATTATCCCTACTTAATGATAAAATAGTTTGCTTAACTTTTTCAAGCGCCCTTTAAACTTTTGACCAAATAATAGAGGCATCAATTTGTTGGTGGGTTATATCTACATATGCATTAGAGGGAACCACTATCTAGACCTATTGCCAATAGCTAGTCTTGGGGCCTTGTTTGGCGATTGGTAGAAGTCAATTTTTATGAGTCATATTATTTTAGATGGGACACAATATATTGAATTATTGCTCAATTAAACTAATTTAATTGAAATGATTCCAGTTCAAATCAAGCAACCAAACAACGCCGAAAGGTTTTAAAATTTAAATATATGTATATGAATGAGTCGTGAGTCATGAAGTCTAGCTGCTGACATTATCTCATTCTACTGGACCAAGTTAATAATTTATAATAATTCATCAGCATGCAATATATGTTTAAAGTCAAAATGAAAGTCATGAAGCTGTTAAGTTCCATTTTATTTATTTATAAAAAAGCGATAGAATTTTATTAGATTAATAGAAATAAAGAGTACAAATAATACATACTGTAAATGAGTCATTCTAATAACAATATGACATACATGGGTAAAACTTCCCTAGTGACCTAAGCCAGCTGAAAAGTTGACACAATGTGGAGAGAATCACTCTCAAAAATTACTTTTCTCTAACCCCATTCAACTACCATAATTTCCCCAAATTACTGCTAACCGGCATGATTCTCCTCCTAAAATTCCATTTAATTTTTAAAAATTGAGACAACGATATCGACTACAAGCATGGTATATCATCACACACGAGAGCATGAGCATGGTATATCATCACTATTTAATTACTACATTAATCCTCACTCTTTAATCACTAAACTATAGTTTTGCCCTAATTAACTACATTCGGTCACATCCCAAAACAACGTCTTAAAACAAAAAAACCCGTCCAAAAAGTATGACTGTGACATGCATCATGCATGTGCACATGGAAATCAACCTTACAAGCTTATAACATATCCCAGCAGACCCATCATGTACATAATTGATCATGCTTATCATACCTTTGCTTAGAAGCATGCACGAAAGTGATTCAAAATAATTGTTGCGGATATTTTTTTTTTAGTATGCTCTTTCCGCTCCACAACTTATATATGGATAATAATTGTTTTAAAAAATTGATGGCAGTTTTGTAATTTATAAGAAGTTAAAAACTTTTTTGTTATGTTGTAAATGGACTTTAAGTGTGTTTTTAAAGTCCATTTCATATGTGGTATTTTTATAATTTAAGCTCTTATATTGGGTATAATAGTGAATCTCTTTAATAATTATGTGACACGTAAAACTCTTATAATTAATTGAATCCCAAAAATTGACACCCCCACCCACAATGATATATCGTTTTCGAAGAAAGATGGCAGCATGACCAGGAGTTTGTCAAGTCTAGATTGAAAGTAGCAAATGGCCTTGTAATAATCAATGATATTAATATGCTTCCACTAGCTAGAGATAAGTGCTATATCAAGGTTATGAGTTGTCCACCTCTATGCAATAAATGGATAGAAGTTTCAATCTTCGAAAAGTAGCGTATTGCTTTTTCTCACTAAGTGAAGGAAAATACTTGTCTCTTTTTTCTTTCGGAAAGAAAGAATTCTTACTTTTTTGTCGATCACAGTTTGTTATGTATGTATAAATTCTCTTTTTTGTGTTTTTCATAAATTATTTTTGTAGATGTATCAAACCGTGATTTGTAATAAAGATAAATATCTTTTTTTAGGAAAGGAGGCAAGCAATGTCTCGATTCGAAAATCAAAATTTGTCAAAGCTATCATATACTCCTTCCTTGATTAGTCATGCATCCTTTATTTTGGATGAGTAGCTTCAATAAGTTATCTCTCTCTCTCTCTCTTTCAGCATTTGTCTTTTATATGAAAATAACAGCACCTATATTTTCTGTACTACTATTGTGTTCATATTTACGTCATTTTAGAGTTAAAAAGTTTTGTACAAAATAATTAACTAAAGGAAGATCAAGCACGCATAAACTAATGCTCGAGTTAATGGTCGTTTATCTTGGTTCCTCCCATGCGCAACTTCGTTGGTTTATATTCGAAGGGCGGTAGTACCAGACATATTAACTATTAGGTCGGTTTTGGCACTACCATAATTAACTAACTAGTTTAAT